TTGGCGATATATGTATGGCTTTGACACAACCACGAATCTATACAAATATATTAATTAGATTATTATATTAATACACTATTTTTATATAAATATATAAATATACCATTTTAATCTCTTCAAAAATTTTTTTTAGTCCATCCTTTACAATGAGATTAAGAATATGCGCAAGACAACGGTTATGAAAAACTTCATCTTTAACATCAATCGAATTCTGTAGAATATGACGAATCAACTCACTAACCGCAACATCATTCGACATTGCATTGTCAAGAGTGATAGTTTGCAACTAAAAATATCAGTTATTGTTAATTATTATATTTATTAATTATATACAATAATTTAATTTAAAATCAATACTAATTAATTACCTTAGTGGTTATAAAATAATTGTCTGTATCCGCTTTAATACAAGTTGCGATATTGCTACCGGTGTGAGGATAAGGAATTAATTTAAATGATAGTAGAACTGAAACAAGTTTCCAGTTTTTATCAAAAAAATGGGCAGTAATCACTATATAACCGAGTTGTTGAAGTGATGTCCATGTATCGCAGGTAAGAGAGATTTTTCCTTCTGCATTCTGAAGAATTGCTTTAATTATAGCTTTTCTTTTATTATAAGCCTTCATTATGTCTCTTTTTATTGTATTTGCACTAATTGTAAACCCAGGTAATATTCCATTTACAAATTTACAAAAACCTTGCTTCTCAACAAACTGAAAATTTAGTTTATCAAAAATTATCATATATGCAAGGTTTTTCCGGTTTGAGTTCCCAATAGGTAGTCGGTTAACCGATGAATTAAAACTTAGTTGGGTTTGGCCATTTGGATGTATAAAACCAGCCCCATTAGAAACAGAGCTTTGGTACTTTAAGCAAGACTTAAGATGCCGTCGAAGATGGGAAGTTCTATATCCTTTTTTGTGACTAAGTACCTTTTTACAATATTTACATTTGGCTTTTGGTTCATTTTCTAACACTTCAAAACTTTTCCATACAGGAGATTTATTCTCTGAAGTTGCTTCGCTAGTGCCAGTAGTTTTATTAGTTTTATTGATGGTGGTAGTGCCAGTAGTTTCATTGGTGGTGGTAGTGCTAGTAGTTTCATTGGTGGTGGTAAAAGTGCTTGATAACCCTGAAACTGATATGGAGTCATATAGATCCAACATTTCAATATCATGGTCGATTTCATCCATAATGGTTTATTGGTTTGATTTTATATGTATAGGTAAGTTTGCTATTATAATCGAAAGGTAAAAAAGTAAAAAGTTAACACGATAATGAAAAGATATTTATAGTAGAAAAAAAAAAAACTTACAATAAAATCAAAAAAAAACAAGACACGTATTAATAGTCAATTTATTTAATAAAAAAAAAAAATTTATTATTCGATATATAATGATATATAAGCACAAAAAAAAAATCCAGATATTCGATATATAGTTATGTAAGATAATTAGTTGTGCAACGTATTAATAGGCTACCCTAGGGTACATAGGGTACATGGAATACACAGACCGGTAGTAGCAGTACCCAAGCTCTACCCATGTAATCTAGGGGACTTATATTTTTAACTCTACCCTGCCCTAGGGCCTGTAATTTGTTGCCCAAGCCCGGCCCTCATGGTACTACCCTTAGGGTACCCGTGGGTAGCCCTGGCTCATGCGGAGGCCTACCAATAAGTAAACAACATCCCTGTTAGAAGTTTTACCTATCTATTCAAAGAAAAATTTAGTACTACTAAACAAAAAGCTACTTGGCAAAAACAACTCTTTGAAATAAAACAAGGAACAGACATAGTTAACATCTACATTAGCTGTTTTAAACAACTTAAAATCAAAGTTGATCCAGGAAATAATTACTCTGCTGCTCTTCTTATCCAAATTTTTATTTAAGGACTTCAACCAGAATATGCCATAAATGTTTAAGCATTTGAACCTGCTAACTTAGATGATGCTATAACTGAAGCCAGAAAATGGAAAACAGGAAGAGTTATAACCTCTAATTATAATATTAACGATGATACTAACCAAGCTATTGAATATTTAACTGAGCAAATAGCTAAATTAAGTGTCAATCTTGCTAAAAAACAAACTACACCACCTTCTTTTTCTACTTCTGTTTGTTATTCGAAAAAAGATAAAAATTCTTCTTGACAAGGTAATAATAGTATAGTGTGTTATTACTATAGTAATAAAGAATATTCTATTAGAGATTGCTGAATTAGAAAAGATGATAAAAAAAGAAACTCCCATGATTATTCTTGTGACCAAAGCAGTAACTACTCTTCTAGGAATAATTGATCCTATGACTGTTCTCGTTCTTGTGATAGAAATAGATCCAGAGACCAAAACTCTAACCATTCTAGATATAATCATTCTAGAAGCCAAAGTTAATTTAGAAATAAATCTAGGAATGATAGACTATCGATCTAATAACTGATTCAGAAGCTGCTTTTTTACTCCTTATCCTCGTAATGCATACATTGTAGACACTACAAATAATTATACTTTTAAACAGTTTGAAACTTTTCTAGCTAATAAATCTATTTGAGAAGCATTAGCCGAATATTTAACTAAGGAAGCTAAAACCAAAACACAAACTCCCTCCTATACTACTCCTGTAAAATATAATATCAAACTTAAAGAAAAATCTTACCAAGCCATAATAGATAGTGGTGCTGCTATTAGCATGATCTCTTATAAAGTCATCAAGGAATTAGAACTAAAGATAGAAGCCCTCTCTACTAGTCTTATTCTATCTGCCACTGGAAATTCTACTTGCCCTCTAGGAACTATTAAAAACCTCTCTGTAGAAATCGAAGATGTAATTATTTCTCTTGACATAGAAGTAATAAATGTTGCCTTCTACTTATTGCTCTTAGAAAATAACTGGTCACAAAAAGTTGAAGCCAGCTACAACTAGAAAAATAAAGTTTATACTCTCAAGTAGAACAAAAAAAATATTTATGTTCCAATCACTTATAAATATAACCAACCTCTACCTGCCCAACTTACCGTTACAGATGAAAAAGAATTACAACAATTCGAACAAGAATATTTAAGCCCTCAAGAAGCTTATATGATTGAAACAAACCAATCTGTTGCTTCTACCTCCAGATCCAGACTCTACTCTGATACCAACCAAGGATGTAAAAATTGCTTCTCCACCACTCATCTCTTTGCTGATTGCCCAAACAATCAATGTTTTAGATCAATCGATATGGCCACCTTGCCATATATGTTTTAAGCAAGCCCCTAAACAATCCACGTGTAGGACCTGTTTTCAGCTAGGCTACTTTTACAAGGACTGCCTAGAAAACCAATGCTACTTATACAACCAATATGGTCACATTGGAATAAATTGTTCTCAAAATGCCCTATCTTAGAAAACCAAAGATATGTGTGTAGATGCTTCCCAAGCGAAGTTGAAAGTCATCGACTATACCATTACTCTTCTTGCTAAGTCAACCATTGTTGTAAATGTAAAGCACCTCAAAAGCCTGAAGACCTCAAAATGCTAGAACAAACTTTAGTTTGTAAAGTTTGTTGGACTTATTTCTACCAAGTGCTCAATAGAAATAATTCTCAAAGCATAGAATACTTTACTAATAATGATGGCAAAGGAACTTTTATTCAATATAAACTCTGCAAAGAAGAATGTATCAGATCCAGAATGTATAAACTTGATACTATCCGAGAAGACTCCTGGTTTTGCAATTTGGAACACTTGTATGCTTACAAGGCTGCCAGTGATGTAAAATAGAACTCCAATCTTAACCTGTGGACCCAAGTTCGACATTATACTGAGTCTACCAGAAATGCCGAACATGTCTATGATTTCAACCAAAGCTGTATCTTTCAACTAGCCATAATCCAATTAGGCAAAAGTACTGAACACCTCGCCCACACTTTTGAACCTCTTGCTAATGACTAATCTAACCAAGACTATACCTATAAAGATGTCAATATCATTATGAGAGCCTTATACGTTCAATTAAGCGAAACTGAAGAAACAAAATTGCAAAGAATCTTAGCTAAATCTTTCGATATTAGCCACCTAGATTTTAACCAATGAAAAGCTATAGAAAACTTACAAAAGAATTTTCAAGAAACTGTAAAACTCTGTAAGGACTGTCTGATGGCTAAATCCAAAGCCGAACTTGAACAATATGAAGCCTGCTGTTAGGAATGTTATAGTGAAGCTCATTCTCAATAGCCAAAGCCAGAACCCGAACTTTCTTTACCTTCTTCTGCACAACCCAATCAACAAGAAATAATTAATTTATTACAAGAGCAAATTCGACAACAAGCTTAAATAATTAATTATCTGCAAAAACAAGTTCAAGCTTCCAAATAGCAAGCCCAAACTATTGCCATATTACAGACCAAGGTTAATAAATTTAAACAGTTTTATTATCAAATGAAGAACCTCTATGATGAATCTCTCTTCTCTCAAGACCCTACTAAAGAAACTGGAAATTTTTAAACTATTTTAAGCAAGATCAAAAACTACTTGAAGACCTAGAAGAAAATGATAGAAACAGACAAGTCTATGAAATTTATACTACTAAAATCACACCAAAAATAGGACCTTTGGACCCAAACCAAGAAGCCCAATTCTACCAGTTACTCGTGGAATTCTCTGACCTATTTGCAAAGGATATGTCTCAACTTGGAAAAACAGATCTGGTAACTCATCAAATATTCATCGAAAATATACTTCCTATAAGTTCTAGACTCTATATGATACATCTTACCAAACAAACCTTTATTAACGAAGAAGTACAGGATAACAAATTGATACGAGAATCCTCTAGCCCATGAACCTCTCCTGTTGTACTTGTCATTAAGAAAAATAGAAAGAAAAGATTTTGTATTGATTATCACAAATTAAATGCAATTACAAAGAAAAATCAATACTCTTTATCTAAAATTGATAAAATGCTGGATTCTTTAGCCAGAGCTAAGTATTTTTCTACTTTAGATCTTATAAGTGAATATTGGCAAGTTAAAGTTCATCCAGATGACAGAGAGAAAACTGCTTTCATCACATGATATAGTACCTATAAGTTCAATGTGATGCCATTTGGATTGTGTAATGCTTCTGCAACTTTTCAACGTTTAATGAATTAAGTTTACAAGACATTGCTTATAAATACGTAGTAGTCTATTTAGATGATACTAATGTGTTCTCTCAGACCTTTGAAGATTATATTAAACATTTACGTGAAGTATTTACTAGAATTAGAAAAGCTAGATTGAAACTCAATCTTGATAAATGTATCTTTTGGATAAAACAATTACCTTTCTTAGAACATATTATAGAAGCAAAAGAAATCTCCCCAGATCCAGCTAAAATCGCTACTATTCAAAATATTCAACCTTCTCAAAACACTATGCAAGTCTGATTCTTTTTAAACCTTGCCGGATACTATATAAGGTTTATTAAAAACTTCTTCTCTATTGCTCATTCTCTTAACCAACTGCTCCATAATGACTGCCCTTATAAATAGACCTCTCAACGTCAAAAAGCTTTTGATGAATTAAAGCAACAACTTATTACTACTCCTATTCTTGTCTATCCGAATTATAAACAAGAATTCATCTTAGCAACCGATGCTTCCTATATAGGATTTGGAGCCACTTTAAGCCAAATATCTGATGACTAAAAGGAACATCCTATTGCTTATACTAGCAAAAGTTTAAAGAAAAAAGAAGTTAACTATAGAGCTACAGAATTAGAATATACTGCTATAGTATAAGCCATCAAACACTTTCATAAATACTTTGGCACAAATTACTTTACTCTAATTACCAACCACTTTGCTCTTAAATGGTTGAAATCATCACAACCTAAAGGACACTTAGATCAATAGATGATGAAGCTACAACTCTATAACTTTACTATAATCCATAAACCTAGACGAATCCATTCTAATGTTGATGCTCTCTCAAGACTACCAATCCAGACACATTCCCCTTCTTCAACCTCTGCTACATGAATTTGGCCAGTATCAAAATTTAGTAGAATATTTAGAATCAGACACATTATCTCCTGAACTAACTAATAATAAACAAAGAACAATTATTAAACAATCTAGATATTATGAGCTTAAAAATAAATTGCTCTACAAGAAAAACTAAAAAGATTCTACCAAACCTATATAAGTAATTAAATGGACCAAAGTTGAACC